GAAATTATGACATGAGAGGCTGACTGATTATCAAGCCAAGATTTTTCAGAGATGCTACTTGGTCTGTATGCTCGTCTACTCTAGTTGAGATGAGAACCTACTTGATATCAGGATTACTAGTAGATTGGATTATTGAGTGTTAAATATAATAAACAGATAACTCTACTCCAGCAGAGGGTGACCATATGATCACCGTACATGATGAAACTACAAAATCGACCAGCCCTTAGCAAGAGAATTATGAATGCATAATTCATAATCAGTTGTTATGGCAAAAACTTGCAAGTTTGAAATTCATAAGCAAGCACAACACAGGAGCAACAGTGCTGATCAACTTGAAGAATCAAACCTTGCTGAATAACACACGCAAAGCAATAAGTGTAGCGAAAAGAAGGCAGAATTAGCTACTTCGAGTGAATCAGGTTAGTGCACCGCATTAAAATCGAGCTGGAAACGTAATGCATGTGCCGTGGAGAGAGGATTAGTAGAGAAATGGAAGACTTAGTCGATTTGAGTCAAGCTCCCATTTAATTTCTTTCTGCAGCATTGTTTTGTAAGCCTACGAAAAGCATTTGCTATAAAAAGTAGTTAGTTATCTACGAAAAGCATTTGCTTTAAAAAGCAGTATCGTGTGAAAGTTTATTAAAGTGAAATTTAAAAGTTATCTTTTTAGAGGTTGGTTTCAAGTATTTTTTTTTTTTTTCACTATCTTCTTAATATCTAAAAATTACATTAAACTCCAACTAATTTAAAATTAAGTTGCGTCAAACCCATAAGTGGTTGGTGATTTTAAGTAAGTTAGAAATTCAAAAATCTAGCTGGGAATGTAATTCATGCGCCGCAATGCTTTTCTAGAAGACTAGCTTTGATGCATTCTTTCCCTCATATTAGCGTATGTTAGACAATTGGTTGAAGCAAAAGATTAAGTCGATGTTAAGTGACTTCGGAATGAAGAGTTCTCTTCCCTGACGTTTGATTCAATAGAAACAAGAGGTACTACTAGATTATTATTTCTTTTTTATCAGCAAAAGATAGTATTATTAAGTTAGAGTACAAAAAATACTCCTACCCGTACAAAAAGAGTAAATTATAAACTTAAGGTGATACAATCAATACTTTCATACGAAAGTTTACCCCAAAATATAAATCATCCAAACAGTGATGGCATGGCCTTCCTTATCCTACAACTGTTTTCATCCCCGCGTGTTCTTTGCTGGGCAACTAAGGCATCCTTTTTGATACCGTTTCGCAAGCGTGAGCAGGACATATATACCATAGCTCCTTTGAGATTTCTGGCCACTGTTTTGCTTTAATCCGGTGGAAGGTTTGGAATTTAATCACCTCAATCATCTTGTCCTGAGGTTCCAATTTTGCCTTAAAGATCTTCTGGTACTACTAGATTATTGAGCTTGAACTTTTCCCTTTTAGTAAAAATGGTCCTATTATTGCTTACAAGTTGATAATTTAATCACCAATAACTTGCTACCCAAAAACAACAAGTCATTGATAAGCGGAGCATGAAGTGGTTTACATAGTTTTATTGTGTGAATATTATGTTAATGATTAGTCTTGATATCCTTTGAAGTTTGAAATTTTTATTAAAAGTATTTTAATAAATTTATAAAGTATATTACAATTTTAATATAAAGTCTATTCTTTA